ACTGACAAACAGAATTATTTTCGCTGCGAATATTTTTTCCAATTATTTCCACAAAGTGCAGTATTTCTGGTTGATGATCAGCCATTCGCCAAAGGTTAATCTTTCTTATTAGTGTGAGTGTTAGTTATAGTGAGCAAGAACCCTCCAGACCTCTGGTGAGTGCGTCCAGATATATCACTCCACGAGACTGGTCACAATATTATCACCTGCCCTTGGGAAATCTAGGGGTGTGAGTCGTTCCGATAGCGGTATGGAGGAACTGCTAAACAGTCTGATGGTCAGGGACAGGGGTGAAGTGATTGGCCTCATAGGCCTTTTGCTTGACCGTCTGGGCCTGAGTACATCAGAGTTGAAAGTCACTCCTGGGTCGGCGATTAGGGAGCCTTCTGGCACCCCACCAGGGGTCGGGGAGCTTCTTGATCGTACTCCGAGGAGAGTCTCCTCCAAAGATACCCCCGTCGGCTCCACCATTTCTGCGCAGCCTGAGACAATAAATGCCATGACAAAGCCGAATGAACCGGCAAAAAAGAAGCGTAGACTTCCGGAAGACTTTCCTCCGCTTCCTCCTTCTTCGAAGCCAGCCTCTCAAACAACGAGAAACACCGGCGCAAAGCCAAAAAAGACAAACAAAAAAGCACCTGAATTATGTGATGAAGCACTAAATTTCTCGGAATCTAAGATATCAACAACTGAATCCTCTGTGAAGGGTAATGTAATGACTGATGTCAATACGAGCGAAGGCTCTGAAACGGGTGAAAAGTCTTCTTCCACTGTACAGGGGAGCCCAAAAAACCAGACTACCCAAAACGACAAAACAAATCAGGTTGGAAATCTCACGGAACAGGGAGCTAGCTCCCCTCTCCCTCCGTGCCCGTAGATGCCCCAAAACATCAAGAAAACTCGCGTTCCCCCAATTGTCGTTCGCCAGAAGGACAATGAAGTTCAGCCTTCTTCGATCGAGGACTACAGGAGTATGGTGAGGGAGAAAATCCCTCATCACATGTATACCAAAAATCAAAAGCATATCTACGACGAACAGGACCTCCTTAATGTCAAAATTAAAGTTGAACCGCAACACCAGAAGACATTGGTAGGGCAGTGTCAACGATGTCAGCGGTTCGGGCATAGCCAAAAGAACTGCTTAGCCCCATCTGCGTCAAGTGCGCCGGCAGACAACTTTCAGGAGAGTGCAAGAAGTCAAGAGCAGATCCCCCAAAATGCAATAACTACAAGGGGGTGCATACTGCGAACTACCGCGGTTGTCCTGAGTTCCCCAAGGTTCGCAGGGGGACCAAGGTAGCTGCAAATAAAAATGAGAAATATAAATATGGAAGACTGTACAGCAGTGCGAATTATAATAGGTTCTACCGAAACTGTCTTGAACTTGACTGGAAAAACATATTATCCGAAAATGATCCTTTTCTTGTTTTCCATAACTAACTCACCTAAGTGTTCAATTTTTCATTTCCTGATTTCCAAAACAAAAAATAAAAAGCCTTGGATGACGCAAGGAATTAAAATTTCGTCAAGAAATCTTTGCTCTTTACACCATCTGCGGAAATTCACTGATAATATTTTATATTTTGATTTATTTGTGATTTATATTTTGATAATCATCGGAGAATTTATAGGAATACCATTAGACTTGCTAAAGAAATGGTCCACTGATTAATTTAGAAAATGTTGCAATCAATGAATTTCTCCAATTGGATGATACGAATATTGATGAATTGTTTGAAGTTTTCGGTGATATAAAGAATAAATCAACATCTGGCTATGATTAAATTTCAATCAAAATTATTGAAAATCTCTGATAGAAGCGCTCAGAATGAAAACGATTAAATGTTCAAACAGTATTGAAATTGATACTGGTGTACCACAGGGATCGGGTCTCGGTCCCATATTGTTCCTGTTGTATATTAACGATTTGATGAACATAAGTATATCTGGAACATTCACTCTTTTCGCTGACGACACCACTATATTGTGGCATAGTAAAGGTATAGATATACTCAATGAGACGATAGCTCATGATGTTCAAAAAATCAAATCTTGGTGTGATTCCAATCTACTCTTCCTCAATATTTCGAACACAAATATTATGACTTTCAAATGTTCACTCCAGAATTTATCAGTAGCGAGCGGTATCTTTGAGAACAGAGAGTGTACTAAATTTCTGGGGCTGTATATAGACGGAGGACTGAAATTTGACGCTCACATCAGAAAAATGAAAAGTAAAATTTCCACCGTCTGTTATGCAGTGAGAGTTATTGCTAGAGAACTGGCAGTTTATACTGCAAAAACAGCATATCACGCTTTGGTAGAGCCTCACTTAAGGTACGGTATACCTTTTTGGGGTGTGTGTAGCCTTAATTTGCTGGAGTCTGTATTTGCATTACAGAAGAGAGCTATACGATACTTGTGTAAAACTAAACCTCGTGACTCATGCAGGCAACTGTTTATAGATAAAACATTTTTGACGGTTGTAGCTCTTTTTATTCTGGAGACAGTGTGTTTAATTAAGCCCAACGGCCTTACAACTGACATCTTCCCTCTGTCTAGCGCCACCACTCTCAAGTGAACCCCTACTCCCCCGAACTCCCCCCCCGTACCACCGTCGTATAACGGCCATACAGAGGTACGAATCAGCGGGGTAGAAGAACCCTCTTCTTTATTTCCCAAACAATACACTACGATATATACATGCAATCCTTCATAACATAATGTCCAACCAAACAAAAATAACAATTCTTTTTTTAAACCGTAGTTAATAATAAACAAACATAGGTACGTAAAAAAATTAATACATTCACATAATAGACTCTTTCCCTTTATTCAATAAGCCCAACCCGTGTACCCCATTGAACAGCACATAAACAATGAAACATGTCTCCGGAGGTATATACAATTTGAAAGATTCATGTACCGCCCTGACTGGGAAGACCACTCCCCCCACCTAGAATCGACATTTTCTTTCTATCCCTGTAAGTTAGCAGCTTATTATCTATCCTTCCCTTTCTTCCCTCATCACTGTCCGCCCAATTATTCACGAATCGTATCCATTCATTCTTTTTTTCATTTATGTCCCTCAGCATCATTTCACCATCCGTCCTTTCCTTCTTCTACTCCCACTCTCGCCATCCAATCCTATCCTCATACATGCATCTATCAATCACGTTCTGCCGTTTCAGGCTCCCCATAGTCACAAGGACGGGGAACCCCCAGTTTTCATGCCCCGTGAGCAGCTGGACAGCCTTCCGCGACAGATACAATGATTCATATCCAATTGTTCTACAAAATCTGTAGAACAGTCGCTCAGTCGTGCCCCTCTTCCATTCCCTTCGTCATTCTCTCCTGATCCTCTCTTTCATCCGTTTCCTGTCTTCAATTTTATTGTGCAGCTTTCTTTCTCACATTTCATGTGACCTGCTCTTTGTTCCTACCCTTAGTGGCCTCTTCATGTGCCCTCCTGTTTCCTGTGTTACTGCCATCATGTCCCCTCCTCCATGTGATCTGGGTACGTACTCCCCTCATACTTCTTTTGAATGTTTCTACACTATATTTTTATATCATTTCGATTTGAATTTGAAGGGAGTTGAGACTGTCCTGAAGGAATTGTTCCTTTAGATGATTTGGAAAGGAAATGATCACACTTTGTTCAAAAGCTGTATACACAAAATTATTTCGGGTAAATTGAAAAAATAAATGTACTACGCACTTTGAAGGTTTGTTAGTGAATCATAGAGTATATGTTTTTCATGCTTCAATTATTTGTCAAAAACTTAAGTTGTCTTCAACACTTCCTTGTAAACATTCAACTACAACTTTTACAATAACCCTGGAAATTGTGTAGGAAAAAATAATGCCACCTAAATGTTGTTTTCATCCATTCTACTACTTGTTATCTATAATAAAACATCTAATAAATTAGTCTATCTTCTTCGTATAAACGGTAAAAGCTCTGTGGGGTTCTTGTGGCTTCAAGACGACTTGACCATCCACTTTGTAATCTTCATAGTTCAAAGAGTAATACAGTTCGAATCCCAGTCTCTTCACCGCACAGACAGTGAAATAGCTTGAACAATCAACAGTGATAAATCCGCATCCTCTGTCTTTTCCTATTTGCCTGAAAATAATATTACAGTCAGTATTTCAATGTGACTGTTGTTGAATATTGAAGGTTTTGACAAAAAATATCAAGCTATTGACGTGTAGTATCGAGTTTGATATCAATTAGTTCCAATGGAAAATGTTTCTCTATATATATTTTTTATTTGTCTGCGTCTGTGAGATTGAAAGTGTTCACCTAACTGATCACAACGTTCATACAAATATTTTTTCCAGCTATTTTTTGTTTCGGGAGTCTATAATGAATTTCAGAAATTGTTCCTTGAAAATCTTTGACGACTTTACAGGTTGCATCCAGTACCAGTCTGTCATGTAGACACTCCAAACTCAAAAGTCCACGGCCTCCCTGTTGTCGGGGGAAGTACAACCGTGGAACGGATGATTTGACTGTCATTGCTTTTCGAATTTGAAAGCCTTGAATTTTTGGAATTTCTTCCTGACGTTTTGCTGGCGCGACTGGCTAGCTTCTTCAGAAGTTTAACCATCATTGCTTGCTGTCCGATGGCTACCTTTTAGGCTTCGTAAAGCCTATTTATGACTTGTCAGGTAATCACTTGTATTTATACCTGTATTTATACCTGAATTTGTACCTGTATGTGTACCTGCACTTGTACCTGCACTTGTACCTACACTTGTACCTGTACAAGTATAGGTACCACAAGTGCACGGTATGCGATAGACCCCTGCTGCTGATAATGGGTCTCTTTTGTCTTTAGCCGACCGTGCACTTTTGGAAAGGTATATATCGAGACCACCAAACGATCCATGGGAACAAGACTAAAAGAGCATAAAAGGAACTGCAGACTAGGCCAAACGGACAAGTCAGCTGTGGCAGAACACGCACTGAGTGAAGGAGACCACATAATTTTGTTTGAAAATACAGAACTAATTGCCCCCATCCAGGGATACCATAGCCGACTGGTACGGGAGGCAACAGAGATCCACAAACACACTGAGAACTTCAACAGAAAAGAAGAAGCGGTGAACCTCAATCGAATATGAAACCCCATTTTAAGGAATTCTAAAATAACGAACAGGACAACAGGCAGCAAGATTGTTAATGTTCCAGGTTCAAGTATAGGTACGAGTACAGGTAAAAATGCAGGTACAAATACAGGTACGAATACAGGTGCAAATACAACTGATTACGTGACAAGGCATAAATACGCTTCACGAAGCCTAAAAGGTAGTCATCGGACAGAAAGCCATGATGGTTAAACCTCTGAAGAAGCTAGCCAGTCGCGCTAGCGAAACGTCAGGAAGAAATTCCAAAAATACACAGCTTTCAAACTCGAAAAGCAATGACACTGAAAACCTCAGCCGTGAAAGTCTAAACCATTTTGCCATCGTCAACCACCTTCAAACAAACAGTAAAATCTCTATTGCTCTATTGCTCTACTTCATTGTATATTTCAACGATTGATTCAGAAGTCAATAACCTAGGTCAAATATTTTTGATTCATGAATAGCTGTACCTAGACTGTGAAGAAAGTATACACAAGACGCTCAGTATCTCTCAAAGCTCACGATTAGTATCATTTCTAACCTATTTACTACCCTATTGTTTGGGCGAGGCAATCCACCAAGTGATTCCTCGGTCATTATGTATTACCATAAGATCAGTCAGTCCCATTTCCATGAAAAGTTCAGTTTTTCAATATTGACACTTGAATTAAGTTTGCACAAAAATCATTTGATTTGTTTTCGCAGTGACTTCTCACTTTCAATTTTTTATTCCGAACAGAAATTGGTACGTTCAGTCACCTGAAAGAGTACCTATGTGATGAATAGAGTTTGATGACATTTGAAAATCCATGACAAAAATAATAAAAAACGCTTCATTATGTGATTTTTATATGACGGTGGACAAAAACGAAACTCGTGTTCCACTTTATATTTGATATTGGAGATCCCCTGAAATCTACCTTTTCGCAAAATTTCAAACACGCTCACAAAATTTCATTTCTCTACATATATTCCTTTGAATTCCACATTTTTCTGTTCAATTTTCTGATATATTCTGAAATTTTCTCTCACTTCTCGTTTTTCATCAACTGGTCTGGATTTTCCCACTATTGTATTTTATTTTCATAATCACACCATAGTCTTATAAATAATAACAAAATGTTTGCTGATTAGAAGTTGGAAATAATTTCTTTAAAATTGGTAATATTTTCTTCAAATTTGATGTATTATTTTTTCATACTTTTTCATGATTTTTTTCCATTACTGACTTCTATATTCTCTTAGAAAGAAATAAATTTCCATGTCGCAATTTTTCCTTGATCTCTGAAGCTTGAAATTCTAGCAGCTCAACTAGTTTTCATATTGGAAAAACTGAGAATTATCCCAATGTACGATAAATCTAGTTATGTTGCAATTAAAAGTTATATTGCAACTCACAGATTGTTATAAAAGTTCATTATAGAATAACCAAACAAACTATTTCTGAAACTTACTTACTAAATGTATCGAATAATTTGATCAGGCAAAAGAATGTGAACTGAGAGATACACTTTTACACTTTAACAAAATAGTTCATTCGAAATTGGATATTAGCAATTATTGATAAGATAATATTTCATTTTACGTAATACTTTACAAAGTGAAACACTATATCAGTATCTCTATCGACATTTTATCAATTTCCACAATGTTGAAACTAGTGAATCGTAACGGAAAACTTTATACAGCTGCAGAAAAGATAAAACTTTTTTTCACCCCGTTGGGTAACCGTCTAAATTCTGAAAAAAGTCCCAAAAATAAAAATTAATTTTCTATCTGGTCTACTTTGTTGAGTGCGAAGGTGTACCTTAGATTCAAGCCTGTTAAGTGTGTTGATGAAGATGCCTGTCATATTATTCACATCATTTTCCATTCATTTGTTTGAAGGTGATTGACAATGTTTCATGATGGATTTCACTAGTTCGAACTTCCATTATCTACTATATAAAATGATTTGAGATCCCTGAAACAACTAAAAAAAAAGACTTACAAATGAATAGCTGAAAATAACAATTATAATATATTAAGCAAAATAAACCTGAAATGAAATAATAGTGAAATAAAATACAAGTCAAAATAGAACAATTGAATAAATGAAAATAAAGAAATGAAAAAAAAAAGAAAATAAAAATAAAAAGTGGAGAGATCACAAGTCACGTTAGTTCACGACGTTTCGATTGTTATTATCTACAATCGTCTTCGGGTGATGACTGGACTAATTCTCAGAAGGTCATCTTCAATTCGTTCAGGTTTGGAGTTCAGCGCTGGACTGATTTCTCCGAGAGATGACTATTTATAGGTCCTTCGAGTACTTTCACTTATCCCCGCTTTCCATTTTCCGCTTCACTGGTTCCGTGGGAACCAATTCTTCTTATCCTCTCCGATAATCCTCTGATGTAGGGAAGTGCAAGCACTGGTTGTGACATCCCTAATTTGTCAGCAGTATCCTTCAACAACTACGACTTGCTTGTTTACTGCCAACATTTGGAGAACCTCCACAGTGATTTCTCAGAAAGATTCAAGGACATTTTGAAATTGAAAATACCGGACTGAGTTATGAATCCTTTTTCAAATGTCAACACAGCAGGATCACCCCAGCTGGAAGAAGACCTGATAGACTTGATAACGAACGAGGAAATAAAAATAAAATTCAAAAATTGATACCAAGAACTTTGGCTACAAAAGCCAATCCCGCAATTTTTATAGCATTCTCATCATCGTATTTGTGTGAACGTGGATTTAGTGCTATGGCAACGTTACTAACTAAAAAGAGAAATCGGCTGCAGTTACCGAACGCGGTAACTTACGGCTGTTTTTGAGTAAATTCGAGCCTGATATTGACAAATTTGTTAAAAATCATCAAATTCATCCTTCACATTAGATTAGTTTCAAAATTCAATTGTTTCAATAACATGAATAAGAGTTTTCCTAATATTGCAAAATGGTGTTTTACATTACCCTCATCAGAAAGACTTATTTTCACATAACACACATAATTCAATTAGTGAAATAATGACTGCGATTGTGATTCTTAAGATGTAGTGATGTAAAAAAAATTGGGGGGCGCTAGAAAATTATCAATTCTCGAAGTGGGTGGTAGACAAAATAAGTTTGAGAATGTCTGATTTAAATATATATGTTGAATCATAGTTTACTCTAGGGTTATTACATGCATATGATATTGGCGGAAGCACTGGGCCTCCAAAAGATTTATTGGCCATCTTGGGGACAGTTGGATGCGTTATACTGTAATTCCAAAATAGTAGGCACTGAATTCTCAGAAATAACTAACGTTTTTGCCTTAATCTGTCTCTTCCAGCGGCGTACGGAAATTATACAAAACAGATGAGGAGAAATTATGATAAAATATAGAATAACAACCTTGACAACGATGTTTTCGTTTCAATGCATTATTTCTGAGCATTTAGTGCTCAGTGTACTATAATTTATAGTTATGTGCTAACGTGCCATCGTACAAGATATTGAAAAAAAATTGGTGCTGTGATACCGATAGTATGTGTGCACCATGGACAAGGCAGGAGCAGATGTCTTTTTTGTATCGGAGGATGGTTAATGAAAAGGTTCACAGTGTAGTAAATTGAAGCTGTTGGGGATTATCTTGGAGGGGGTGGACCTCATCAGATGTAATGTGGAAAAACATGGAAGGTTGTGCTGGTTGTGTTGCTATTGGTTGTTGTGTGAGTGAAGACGAAGACGGTTGCCTGTCGAATCAGGTATACGAGTATTATTGCTGTCAAAAAAACAAGCTATCAAAGAGTAGCTGTGGAAAAAAAACATGAGGGTGTGCTGGACGTGTTGCTATTGGTCGTTGATTAAACGATGTCAACATGGGAGTCTTATGCTGGTCGTGTTGTTGTATATAAAAGATGTGGAAGTTTTCAAGTGCAAGGGGCGTAACCCATCACCAAGCGGAAGAACTTTTTTGAATTTCACATCAAAAAGACAGTAAAAGTACCGTGATTAACTCTGTGA